AATCATTTTTTTGTTATCGGTCAAAGAATTCTCTTTTCCGTCAATGAGGTGTCATCGAATATCGGTCTTCTCGTTGTTATATCCATGTAATCGTGTATACACGCGTCGCAGAAAGATAAAAGACGTACTGATCATAATGAGCGTGCCCGGATGCTTGTTAAAAAGCAATTACTCCATTCGTGCGAATAGCCGCTCGCGAAGAGACTACTTTGCTTGAAAATCGCTGGTTTTGCGCTCTCGCTAATTTGAATTACTCGTCACCGCTCGGTCGGCTCTCAAAGGCTGCGGAAAACTCGTTTGTCGCGCGCGATTCGCGTTTATTCCCGCAACGTGAGAATTATCCGGAGATGAGGGAAGGAGGAAAAAGAAGAAGAAGGAGGAAAAGATAGAGAGAGAAAGAGAGAACGACATTGCGAAAAGATATACGACGACATCGAGAGTAAATTGTAACCGCATCGTTTCTTTCTAGTACATGATTATAACTGCAAATGTGAATACGTGACAAAGTATCTCTTCCGATCGCATGTGTGCACGCGTATGCGAAAAAACGTGCGAATATTTAAAGAGAGAGAGAGAGAGAGAGAGATTTGCTGCGTTAAATATCAGCCACATATTCTTATTTGCCTTGGTATCGCACTCGTATTTTTGGATAATTTTATAAGTGCAAGCGCGCTTTTAATAGCGATGCATTCAATTTCGTGAAAATTTCTCGCGCAAAGATGCATGTTCCTGGATCTCCGCTGTTTTTCTCACCGGATCCCCCAGGGCAGTTTCGCCAGTCTTGCTAATTAACTTTTAACAGGGGAACAAATAGATGACGCAGTCGGGTTATAAACTGAACGAACTCATTTCTTGCATCTTCTCTCTCTCTCTCTGGAAAATGCATTATTTTTCTATTATACAGAAACATCACAAAGAATATACGAATTTATTACTCAACTTCTCCTACGAATTTACACGAATGATTAACCTCATAAATTTATTAATTTTTTAAAGGAAATTTTCTCACAAAGTTCGATTACTGTTCTAAATATAAATTAATATCATTAGATAGAAAAACTCTATTCAATGCTATTTTCAATGCTTAATGTTTGATTTTTGTTATTTATTTCATTCTTTCGTTTTTCTCATAGAATATATGAATATATTAAACTAAAAAAAGCTACACATTCTTAAAGATATTCGACCCTTTTCCGAAGAAAGTATGATTACGGAGAGCATGACACAGAAAAAGGGTCGTTAATTACCGTTTTTTCGAATGTTAGACAATGCGAGGGAAAAGGTTTTGACTTTCGTCCTATTGTCCGCGAAATGTACATTGATCATTCGTGAAAAAGTGATTAATCAACGTGCGATAGACGTCGCGAGGAAACCTTCTCGGCGAAGCCGCTAGCCATGGCCGCTAACGAAACACGTGTCAGCGCGCGTTAAATCGTAGATTCCAGGGAGACCGACGCGACACGCTCGTTAATCACCGGCACATCGTGAGCGTGATGGATTAAAATCAACGAGCGCATCCATACAAGCCACTTTCTTTCTTTGCGAATCATTTCCCCTTCTTCGAAAGATCGTTTTTCTAATACTTCAAGTTCTTGCGCCGATAAGTTATATGAAAGTCATTATAGCCGGATAGAAATTTTTCTCATCTTCTTTATATAAAAAGATATTAAAAATATCTTCCCAAAGTAATATAAGTCTTGCTGTTGAAAATTAAAAAAAAATTGTTAGTGTCAGATTTGTCAAAAGTGATGTCTAGTGGAACGTTGAAAATTTTATATAAAAATAAGTAAGACTTATATATTTAAATTTTAATATATATATATATTTAACGTTTTTTATATATAGCGAATATGTAATATTTTTCTTAATTTTTATCAAACTTGTTATTTACTATTTCAGAAGAGAAGGATATTTATAAAAACTTATTAATTGTTTAAAAATTGTTTTTTTCATCTTTTCATGAATTTTCAAACGAGAATCCCTAACACATTTTTCTTCTCGTGATCATAAGCGCTTCCTATGCCCAGCATTTAGCTCGCAAGACACCGAAGGGCGAATAAAAATAACTGCGGCATTATCGTCAATGACATATTGATGAAGAAAAGTACACGATGTCGGTCATTAATGCCTATATCATATAGTCTGGAATTATTATTAGCTCCAACGATTATTGTTAGAATTACATCGCTTTTATGTTACGATAGCGTGACGACCGAGAGTAGCGACGTGGAAGTTGGCGAATCAATCATCGAGATATAAAATAATATTTGCGTGAGTTAGAAAGTATGTATAACGTTTAGTCTGTTATTCTTACAAGAGATAGTTCTTATTTAATCAGATACTTCATGGACGATATAAATCACACGTTATCAAAAGCATTCAATCTTTTAAATCTTTAGGAAATATTTAAGCTAAAAAACAGTATAATAATGATTGATGCTAACAATAAATCATCCTCGTTCGATTATCGATATCGAGAATGATCGCAATATTATAAAGCGCAACTGCAAATTGATATCTCCAGAATTCATTTTTATACTTCGTCTTTCAAGTATGGCATTCGGAATTTGGGAAGAATATCTTCGCGAAATGGGAACTTACCGCGCTCATATTTCTACTCCGGAATAACTCATAGATTCTCCGGACTCGAGCATCCGCGTAATGTCTAAGATTGATGCGCAAGATATACCAGAGGCGGAAACATATTTCGCAAGAAGCGAGCGAGCAGGAAAATAGGAAATCTGTCCGAGCGGGAGAAGCTGGCGCCCTACGGCTCTTTCCGCTATCAGACAATTGAAAATTCCAACGAGAGATAAGCGTCGCGCGACCTGCTTTCCGTAATCGATCAGATCACAATCGATATAGAGAGTCGCATACATTAAAATTCCCTTTAAATCGCTCGCCATTTTTTTCCGCTCCTAGACAGGAAGGAACTCACGGAAATTTATCTGCGCTGTACACAAAGAGAGAGACGCGCAGCCCCGAGGAGTTCGCGGAGAAATGACACCGAGATACGAGAGCGGAAAGATGACACAAGCGAGGCGACTTCGAGTAATAAATGACCGCGATGAATAATAACTCGGTTATTGAAAGAAAATTCTGGCCGATACGCGAGAGAGTCGAGAGTTTTCCAACTCGGAGCATTAGCCTAGTTCTCGGATAAGGCCCTCCTCCGCCTCTCCGCCAAGGTTCGCTGCCTTCTTTCTCCGTCTCCCTCTCCCTCCCGCGCACTATCCGCCTCGATGTGCTCTCTTTACTCCACGAAACCACGTCCGCATAATGGCTATTCAGATATCGAATCGATTTATTTCCCGAGGGGCTTTCGGAAACTTCGCCCATCCCTGCGGTGAACTTGGAATGGCTATCTTCCCTCTCTCTTTCCCTTACCTGTCTCACTTTCGCGATGCATTTTGAATCACCGAGACCCCGGACTTACCGTAGAGCGTGAAATGTTCATTGGGTCACATTCGTTTCGCGAAACTTTTATCGTCGCGCCGCGTTTTGTCGCACGCTTTTAAATCGACCGTTAAGGGAAACGAGATAAGTTGCAATTTATGCCCACAGTCGACGAATTCAATTTTATTTATACGATTACGCACTCGCCGATTGCATATATTTCTTTTCGTAAAAAAATTTAATATGTGTGTTCTTTGTATAAATTTTATTTTTTTTGCATGAATCATATGACTTGAGATATCTTATAGATAATTATGTTAATGTTGATTGTTATTGTCAGTGAGATAACATAAGTTACTGTTAACGATTATAACATCGTATCAAGTTGGAAAAGTCAGTTCGAACAGAACTATCAAGCGTTTAAGAGGCATTTCTCAGTGGGAAAATTCGATGTAATCGAACGATGGATACTGCGGATAGTCGATTTAATTACACGGATAAGCGGATAGATGGATGGAGAGTTTCATTAGATAGATAAATGGATATGTGGGTAGATTTATATCTAGTTAGGTCCATTATCGAGGAGATTCTGGTATAATACGATGAGGACGATTGCTTCTCTACAAATGTGATTAAAATCACATTCAATTAAGAAAGGCTGACGGAAAAGTCGATAACCGTTAATGGAAAGACCAAGCAGTTCAATGAAAGATATTATATTTTCATGAAATATGCGTTAGATTTATATAGATGAATTATCTTTTCACGATAGACAATATAAAGAATCGATCATAAGATTCTAGCGTATCATATATATTTTGCATAAATCAGCATTTATTTTATTGTTAGTTAAACAGTTTTGTTTAAGGAACTACAAAAGTTGCTAGAATATTATGTAGATGATAATATAAAAAACAGCATTTTTAAGGTATGATATTCCTGATGAACGTGTTTTGTTTGGCTTTTTATAGCTCACTCGTATCCTTTCGAAATATGACTAATAATAAGGTTCAATTGAAAGCGAAATTTGATAACCTTATTGATCTAAACTCGCCTATATAGTCTCTGACATGAACGATACTAGGACACACTTAATTCTCCACGAGGAACTTACTCGAGAGAATAATTTAAGTGTCCTTCTAGAAGCTTGGCAAAAGGCACTCATCAACTTAATATCAAAAATGAATGCTCTTGCCGAAAAGGTTATGCTTTATTATTCATATTTTAACGCATCCTTTTTGCAGAAAGTAAATCTTCCTTGCAACTACTCGCCAATATTCTCAAAAGAATTTCTAAAATATCAAATCTGAACGTTGAATTTAAAATGTTACATGATTAAATGTTACATTAAAATGTGACATGAATGATACAAATTGCGAATTATTATTAAAAACATTAAAAGTTTAAATAAAAAATAATTAAAAAAAGAAACGTATTTTAAAACGATTATTTTCTGTAACTATATATTTTCAAGAATATTACATTAAGATTTATGGAAAATAATAATTTCTTGCTCAAAAGGTCTACCTTGGATCTTTAGAGAGACGCGGATAAAGTCAATTAAGCATATTGCGGAATGAGGTTGCGATGGCAAGTTGTCTGACCTTATTCGGGTATCCGTTGTATCTCAGCAGTTTCTTGCAACACTTGCCGTGGTTCTCGTAGTAGAACATCTGCACCATATCCGCGCGGTCGGTCGCGCCGCTGACGGTGAACGGCGCCCTGGATGACGACGGCGGTTGCTGCTGTTGTTGCTGCTGCTGTTGCTGCTGCTGCTGGGTCGACGATTGCCGACGCCCTAATGGCACGCACGGGCACCACCCTGAGACCATCACACCGATCGGGCCTGATGCCGGCCCGACTCGTCTGGCCCAACACGTCGAGAATATCTCTTCGCTTTCTCGTTTTCTCGAAGATCACTTCCTCCCGCGAGTGAAGGCAAGTCTCTTCATGATGTCTCTTTGTCGCCAACTTGTCGCCGCCGAAACTTCGTCTCTAGACTCGCGAGATCCTTGCTCGGAGAGCTTGTTAAAAATCGGGTAACTTCCGGCGAGATTGTCCTGCAGTTTTGTTAATGCATGTTTAAAGCGTTTTACAAGCGAGACAATTTCGCGAAGTGATGGTGGTGGTGATGCTTGTCACGTGGCGCGAATTTGGCAACAGTTCTTGTGCTTTTGGCCACTCTGAAAATCTGAAAGAAGAAACAAGCGATTATAAAGATGATTGTTAGGTATTTGAGCGGATTTGTTTCTTAGCTACACTTGTTTGTTTTCGTCTCCAAAATACTAGCATGCGTATTTGTTTTATCTTGAACACGTAACTATAATAAATTGCAAATAAACAGTAGAGAGATATTGATTATCGATTATGAAGATTGAAGAGAATCTTACATCTTTGTGTTTGTACTGTATTATATATTGTATTATATATTGTATATTATATATTATATATTATATATTATATATTATATATTATATATTATATAATGTACTTTATTTTTTATTAAAAAATTTGTCTTTAAAGTTGAAACTAATAATCTTAATAACTCTTTTGTCGATTTCTCTTATTTTTATTATAATAGAAGAGAGTGCATTCATGGCGAGGATTAATTCTAAGACGGATCAATTTAATCCGAGTTCTCCTTCCGTGAACATTAAGAAATGTAGCGTGTACGTCAAACAGAAAGAGAGAGAGAAAAAAAGAGAATCTCTCCAGGATATTCACGCGCAACTACTATTTCTTTTATTGCGAATATAGTTTGTGCTTTCAAGATTTTCTAAGAAGCCTGTTTGATTAAATTCGTATGCGCGTCGCATCGAATTTCGACCGGATCCATTACTGCTCTAAAAAAGCTGCTCTTCGTAAATCAAGGGCCGTTAGATTTGCCGTTCGATCTCGCGACTTAAATTAACGGCTGTTGCAAAAAGCGGCAGGTTGATAAATTGGTAGATAGATGGATAGACGCCGCAAATGGATGGATGAATTCTCTCCCGCTATAGATTCCCTAAGGACGCCCTGAGAGATAAATAGATATAATTTATTTAGAGAAAGAGAGAGATCGTAGAGAGAGAGAAATAAAAAGAGGTACATAGATACTGGAAAAAGACGATATTTAAGATTAACGATCGAACGTAACACATTAATTAAATAAATAAAAGAATATATATATATATTTTTTTTTATTTAAACATTTGTAAAGTTAAAAGAAATAGTAATATTTTGCGAGGAATATTTATAATAAAAATAATAATATTAATATTATTAACACTAATTAAATAGTATACTTTAACTACATTTAATTTATTTCAAATATATGTATATACAAGGTATATCTGAAATGATGCACTAAACTTTAGGAGCGTATTCTAGATGTCAAAATAAGATTTTTTTTTCCTATGAACATGGATCCGCAAATGAACTCCTCTCCGAGCTACAGGCCCCTAAAGTTTGGGGAAAAAATTGAAAATTGGCTGTATTATGGATCGCCTTATTATTTGACTTTGGTTTGACGTTACCTATTACCTTCTCTTGAGAGATAAATAAATTTGCGTCGTGGGTGTTTGGCCAATTTCACACATTTTCGAATTTTAACTCAGGGGGCGGTTTATTTGAGGACCGATGTTCATAAGAAAAAAAAGTTTTATTTTGACTTCTAGAATACATTCCTAAAGTTTAGTGCATCATTTCATATACATCCTGTACATATTAGATAAATAGATGTTATGAATTGTCAAGAATTTTAATCAATCGTTATTTTAAACTATAAGAAATTAATATAACGTATCGTAACGTAACGTAATCGTTATTTTAAACTATAAGAAATTAATATAACGTTAATAAAAACCTAATTAAAACAAATTTTAATGTAATAGTATGTTGTATATACAATAATATATAAATCAATTATATATCATGAAGTTATTACCAATAAAAATGGGATTATTTATAAAGACGTATGTTTTATTTCTTTACAAGACATAACGCAAACTGACTCAACGAAGAAATGGCAGAGGGGGATGGGACGGTGAAGCCATAAAAATGAGAAAAACAACACAGAAATTTGCAATTCATGAGAGCCGTCGTCGGCTGTGCGTTAGTCACAGAATGCGCGACCTAATTTAAGAATGGAAAATTTGCGCCGTGTCTCCCCTACTCTTGGGTAATAAACGCGTCGCATACCGCACAAACATCATTCGACTTACAGAAAATAGAGAGGAAATTCTACCTTCCGTTTCTGCAGTAAAAGATCGACAGAAATTTCATTAAAATCATATTTTTATATTATTTTAATACAAAATTTTGATGAAATTTTATCTACTGTTTTATTTCATATTATTTAGAGATTATTACATTTATATTTTTAAGCTTCTAAGATATCTTTAAGCACGTAAGATTGACTTAGAAATAGAGAGAAAGAAAGACTTATATTAAAATTATAAACGGATAGATGTCGACAAAAGAAATCTAGTGAAGAAAAATACAGCGATTTTCGAGTCATCTTGTAAAATACGCAGTCGCATTAGCTGCGCAAAGATTAATTAGAGCATGATTTACACATATATATTTTCTGCGAAGGAGCGAAGACGCCCCTTTCGCGTTCTCCAAGACAAAGCCAATTGCTCTTTACAGAGACGCCCAGGGTGTTTCCGGAGTTCCCTCGTTTCGGATTAGATTCTTGTATGACCTCGTAATACGGGTCAGCGAGGTGCTGAGAAGACGCGCGATAAGTTTGCTTTACGTTTGCGCCAGATGATGTTCGTGCCATTTAATAAAGCAGAAACCGTGCGAGAGTAGAAACGAGATTTGCCTTCCGCAGGTCACTCGATACACTCGTCCTAAACGAGATATACAATATCTCAATGTGTCAAACTCGCATAATAACAAACGAGTTCGAGCTTAAAAGAAAATATCCGGTTTGACATTTCAGGATTAATTTAATTATTATTTTTTTTTATATTTATATTATATGTTAGGAAAGATGATAATTATTGCAAAACTAGAAAAATTAACGTGTTCTATGAATTGATATCACGAAAAATATCACGATATATCTTTGAAAAAATTGTTATTAATATCGACGAAGTTAAAAAAAAAATCTCTGGATTTCTCGAATCCGAGGGAGCGTTGAATTGTTAACCAGTATCAGTTGGAGTGCGGGAAACTCCAGGTGATGAACACTTCACGATTCCCGAGTGTATGAAAACGAAATTTTATATTCATAGTAATCTGCATCTCGCGTCGTATAAAATTTAAATCTATTAAACAAATGTTTTTGTCGCGTAAATATATAATGTACACTTTTATGAGAGGGGAAGACAATTTTCGTAGAATTTGCTTGAAAAGTAGGTTTATGAAGAATGAAATTCGACGAATGTGCTACGCGAGTGCGTTTCTTTGTAGCTTTTTAACTGGTTTCTCTCTCTCTCAGGACCCATTCGTCCGTTGATGTAGCAATTTTTCACTGTGACATTTCCGGCTTAGAGCTGTCCCTCGAGAATTCAACCTGCTCTCGTTTCGTTCCTGGTCGAATGGTCATAGATTACTTACTAAAGCAGAGCGTAATCCCAAGTCTTTGTTATGCCAACATAACATGGTAAACACGAAAATCATATAACATAGGAAATTAGCAGTGCAAATCACACATTTGAAATACTATATATATATAATATTTTTTTATAAAACATATATGTTTTATGAGTATAAAAGTTATATCCAATTATTAATAATTTTTAATAATAATATATTATTAATAGTAATTATTATTAATTAAAAAGAACATGTGTTAAAAAATATATTTTATGACGAATACGACAAAAAAAGAAATATATATATATATATATATATATATATATATATATATTATATATAATGTCTACATAGTATAGTCTTCTTTAGCTGCTCCTTTTAAATTGTTAATTTTTAATGTTTATAAGTGGCATTTTTTCAACGGTTTGATATTTATTCGAATGCTTATATTATCGATCGCTGCTAGGTGGAACGCTGTGCTCGATCGTAAACTAGTTCGATTGAATAAGTTCGAGGCAATTCCTTGCCACTGTCGTTGCCGTCACTCTGCGAATTTTCCCTACGGTCCGCAACTTTTCGGGACTGGCTGACTAGTTTCGGGCGCGGATTTCTGCACGAACGAGCTAAATCGACTCGACCGGTCTCGCCGGAATTGCTTCGTTCCGAGACTCGCGGAACCGCTAGTAAAATCAACGGCGACGGCATCGATTTTTCGACGGCAGGTCGAAGTTTAATTAAATCGCGACGCGAAACTTGCGGACGAGGAGCGACCGCGTCGGAGAGACGTAAAACCCATAAAAACGTAGATTAACCCCTTCGGTACCGACTCACGAATGTAACACACAAATCGATGCGGTTCTCGCAAAAAAGTCCGTAGAATTATTATTACCGTGTAACGAATGTTCCGAGTATTTACGGAGACAATTTGTCACACGTGGCAGTGTCATATAAATAATGCTATTGTCAGATGTGATTGGTGAACGCATACGTGATATTTTGGACTCTTACTAAAGTATTATATCGAGTAACAGGAGGGTTGTATGATGCTCTTTATAAAATCTACTGCTTTCAAAAATATATATAAAAGTTTAAGAAAAATATAATAGCTTTCTATTTAGATGACAAACTACATAGAATAGATCAGTCGGAAGCCAGCATGCAGTGCACATGAATAGCTCCGTCGACATTTAAATAGTCTTATAATAGTCCTTATAATAGTTATTAATAAATCTTATTAAGACTTATTTGGTGGTCAGCAAGTTCCCATTCAGGAGTTCAGGGCAATCGGCATGCATCTATCGAGCGAGATTCCAACATTGTTCTGAAATCGCATATAACTGTGCTAAATAGCGGTATTAGGTGTGAAATCTGAATAGTTCAGTGGTTTAGAGTAGTTGTCCGGAAAGCGAAACACTGCTTTCCGGGCAAAATCATTGACAATTAGAAGTGTGTTGCTTGAAAAATTATATTTTAATTAAATTAAAAGCGTGTAAACCTTGAAAATGACAAAACATCGGGATTTTTAATTGCTCGACAGGTCAATAAATCGCACTGAACTAACAGAACAAATTCTTCTGTATTTAATTTGGGATTAAAGCGACGATGACATGCTGTCGCGCGAGAAACAAAAATGCGAAAATATAATAGTTTAAACGAAGTATGACGTTCGCGCATTCTACGAGTATTCGCGAAAAAGTTTATCGGAATATTTGCAGGTACATATCTCGTTGTTACGGGTCCTTTTCATGCATTTTACACGGTATAGAGAACGCGCTCGTTAAATCTGTCGCCGTTGCTTATACGCGCGTTCCCTTTTGTAAGTTCGCGAACGTGTAGTTTTGTAACAAGCCGCCATCGCGACTGCGATCGTACGCGCCGTACGCTCGTTTCCGGACTTTATAAAGCGTCCGCAATAGTTATCACGACAAATAAACAACGCGAGCGGCGTGCTTCGTGACGGGAGGCTAATGTAAACTTACGAGAGGCGATTGCACACATGACGTATGACACGCGTGTGAAACGTCGAGCACGTGCGCCCGAGCGCCCCGAGAAGTTCAACAAGCGGAAGCAAGCATATATTTTTAAAAATTACGAGACTTCAAAAAAACCGATCGATATCAATGACGTTAGATTGTGATTATTAATAAATTAACTTATTATTAAATCGAAGAATTTCGATCGAATTATGATAACATGAATCTACTGGTATAATTTTCTCGAGCAAACGCGAGAATTCGATGGGAATTATTCGCGCAGTCGAGGCGACAATGCGCGGTCTCGCCGCGAAAAATAAAGGCGCTTAACCAAGCCGAACGTATCATATGCACCTGCAACATCCGCGACCGACAGTTTGATGTATGAGACCGCGGCGACGCGCGCGGGCACAACACGAGCAAAAAGTCTCTCTCCGCCGTAATCCCTCTTCGTTCCCCGAGAAATCTCATTACGGAAAAGTTTGAGAGAAGGCTCCGCGCCGCGACGCGGGTGGATGGAGATTCTTCCTCCGACGTACGGGAGTCTACAGCGCGTGGAAATTGCGAATACAGAAGGAGAGAATGAGAGAATAGTCTTGTAGCCATTGTCGGAGATAACTTCCCGCGATATCTTCAACAGGACTGAGGTGAATTTAAACTTGTTGCGGCACTAAGTTATAACATGAATGAGAAGAAGAGACCCCTGTCTTTCTATTAAATTTAAAATTCTTGAATTGATAATAATTCATTCAAAAGTATCTTCCTCAAATAATTCATCGTAATACGAGATGTATGAACTCGTGATCCTAAATAATACCATGACCTTCTTTTCTTCTCATATATATGCATTGAATAGAATATAATAAAAATACAGATATGAGGAGTATTTTGTAAAAGATATAAAGATACAAATAAGAAAAGAGAGACATATATAAATAAAAATCTTTAGAAGGCATTATTTATCTTCGCTTCTTTAAAATAATATTTCATATCTAATTGCAACGAGAATAATTTTAATCTCTGAATAAATGAAAAAAGTCAAGGATATGAAGGATATTTTAAAATATGGGGAAAAGAGTAAGACATTCTTGAAATTATTCTCAAAAATAATAATAAAAATATTTGTAACAGATTAAGTGAAACTTTTCATTATTAATATACATTTTAGTTTGTGGAAAATTAAAACATTTCTAAATCAAAGTACAGAAATATAGTATTTAGTCTATTTAATTTCTTAAATAATAAAATGAAATATAGAATTTCGAAAACACACCTCCGTTGAGTAGATTCCCGATCGATCGAAAATCCTGAGAGTGAGATCTCCTTCTTCACTTTGACTTATACCGAAGCTGCTCCGACTTGGAAGGCAGGAGAGCCGACCAGCGCGCACACACCGTACGTGTAACTAGGGTCGCCGGATATTACATCCCGAATTTCCGGCGTTCTTAATCCTCCTCCCGCGCGCTCGGGACGTCCTCTCCTCCAGCTATCTCAGAAAGGATCGCGAAGCATCTCACGAGGGAGGATGAACAAAGAGGTTATCGGATAACTGGCGCGAGTGGAACGAGACGAGGGTGAAAAGAGGACGATGGCGGGATAAGAGCGAAGAGAGACTCTATTATTCGACGCGGTAGGACTAGGTTGTCCCTTCGTGCGGACGAGATTGAGTGACAGGAGCCGGAAGAAAAGGGAGCCGCGCACCACTGCACCGGGTGGGAGTAACGTGTCGGGGATCGCGTGTTTCGGTCGACGTGCGGACGCGGACTAAAGCTTTCGACGGACGGACGGTCGCTCGTCGTCGCGTCGCGTCGCCTCGACTCGCGCGACGGCGAGAAGCGGCGGCGGCGGCGGCGCTTCCTCTTCCCTCGTGGTCCTTGCCCGTACAGCGCAGGACTGACTGAGGGAGGCAGCGACGCCGAGCGTCGCGACGCGCCGCCGGCGCCGAGCGACCCTTCGAGCCTGCGTTCCCGTGTGTGCCCGAGTTGCGCCGATCTCGCATCCGAAAATCTTCGTCGGAACATTTTTGCCCGTTAAAGGAATCGCGTACTTGGGAAAAGAGTCGTGTCGATTGATTCGCGATTGTCCGCGAAAGGAAAATATTACAAGCGAGGAAAATTATATAATACATAGATAAATGGAAATAAGAATTTTAATTAAATAATTATATTTATTTATTTTGCGTACAAAGCAGGATAATTATACATTTTGCTTTATAGAGATGTATATCATTTTACTGTTAATTAATTTTATAACATGATTATATAATTATATAATTTTTTATATGAGGTTTTAATTAATTATTATATAAGTAAATTGGAAAGAGATTGTTAATTTCAGTTGGTAATTTCTGATATCAGCTTTAATTTTATTAATTTATTGTATTTCTTTTAATGTTAATTTTATGTTCTCCAACTCGATCGTTTGATGCATTTTAAGAAAAATGTAAATTTTTGAGGAAATGTAAATACATACTAGAAGAATTTTTTGAACTTTTTTAATGATTAAATCTTTTTTAAAATTCCCATATTTGATTTAACATATTTTTCATGTACGATCGCAAATATGAATGAATTGAATAATCAGAAAAATTACTAGTAATGCAAAAAGTCGATAAATAAAAAGAGATGAATTTCTAAATTAAAATTTCATCGTTATAACGTCATGTCATATAAATGCTATATCATAATTTGCAGTGCGAATGACAATTGATGAAATTTTGCAAGGGATCACGACAATTGCCAAAGTTTTTTAGCCATAATTCGCGCGACTCGAAGGTATATTAATAAACGGTATACGCAGAACAGAAAGCAGACTTTCTCGCTTTCCTTTTCCCTCTATAGTCCTGTCTCGCTATTGCTTTTTCTTCCATTCTTTGGTATACACAGTACGCATTTCTATGCATGTGTGTATATGTATGTGTACATCTTCTCAGTGGCACATCTCCGGCATCCAGAATATCACCATTCCTCTCTCGCTTCCACAATTCTCTCTCCGACTCCTCTTATTTTCTGGAAAGGAAAACGTGCACGAGAATTGGACACTCCGTGTCTGCGAGCATCGTCTCTTTACGAGTCTTCTTCTTTGATATCTATCTGTCGTTTGTACATCTTTATTTCATCTTTTTCGCTCATCATCGCCATTCTGCAGTCGCGTTTTCTCCTATATTTTGCTACTGAATGCTCGACGCTAAAATGGATATCTAACTTCGAGTCATTGTGAACGTCGGAAAACACGTTCGACCATTTTTACACCCGGTCGCGATCTCGTAACCCGTCCATGCTCGTTTGAAACAGCCAAACATATTGGAAGATGTCATCACTTTATAACCTGCGAAAATTTTATACAAAGAGCTGAAGGATAAAAAATTTTTAAAAATCGGAAAAATGTTCTTTTTTTCCATTTGACAATTATAAATCCTGATAGATGAAAATAAAGAAAAATGCGAAATCAAATATAAAATATATGAAACAAAAATTTGCATCTTTTTTTTTTTAATAACGATTGTTTACGAAATATAACCGATACGATTAACCGCGAGAAATCTTGGCCGACGACAATTATTGTTCACAACATTGATACGTTTCAACTTAATCTATCGTTTCGACTCCTGGACACGCACATTTTTTATGCACGCAAACGCGATACGTGAACCGCGTGGAGATGCCACGAGGCGGGTTCCGGGGTAACCGGAAGAATGAATATTTCAGGAGACGAGTCTTGAAGCGCGAGTATCTCATTTTTCCGCGCGGCCGCGAGACACGAACTAGGGCGATCGGAGCTATTTGTTTTAAGAATTGATCGTCCCGCGCAGCGGCTATCGACATTCTCGAGGATTCCCGCGACAAGTGGACGCTGCGGCAGAATAGGATAGATTCTCCCGCGGCTTAATGCGCCAAATGCAAAAAATTTATACGTTTATCTCTCTTCAAGGTAAGCATTGCATTCTCGAGTTATGGTGAGAAAATTGCGCGCGCGATTCCGACACGTGTGCGCATCCCTCTACGAAGTTATGAGAGTTCGTGAACCGGATTAGGGTGAACTTGGAAAAGATAACGTCGGGAGTCGATAGAGAGGAAGCTAGACCGGATATAGAGTTTCGTAGCAAATCCTTGAACATATATACACATACACATACATTATATACACACGCAAGCGATCTCGGGCCTTTCGTCCTCTTCGCTGGCTTTTATTCTCGTCCTTCTTTCCTCTTCCGCCGTGGTACAAAGAGGAGATTAGAGTGTCCAGATCAAGTGCTTGAATTGTATTTCCAGCAATATCGCGAGATCGCTATCGTCGTTGCTCAAAAGTTACCGTCGTCGACTTGTGTCGTTCGATTGAGAAAGTAAACCGAAGAATATATCGTGTTAGAGAAAAGATGACATCTCTCGGCATCACACAATCTGTTATCCGATTCAGTCAGCAACGGTTGAATCGAACTCCGATGTATTTTTCGACAACAACTGGTTTTACAGAAAATCAGCTTTTTATCATCGAACCTAATTTCTTTGTTTTTTTTTACAATAAATTGAATTTTAACGCGCGTTATTTCTGATACAGTTCTTATTTTAAGAGTGAAAAGAAATGTATCATTCTCTACTTGATCTTTTCATATATTTATAGTTACTTTTCTTTTTGAAGGAGAGAAACATAAATAACTCTGATACGAGTTAATAAACGCTTATTATAATCCTACCAACGCGATATTTGTTTATCAGTTAATATTGATATGATTTCATATACGTATAATAATCAGGTAGAAATACAGCCAGTGCGCAGAAGCAAATAGAGCAGAATGTAATATTGATCGTTAGTTATTGGTGTAAACATTATTTACAATGGCTTCTATTATTACATCTATAATACAAAAGAGTAACACGCTATATCGGAATTACTAACACCTCATAATTTTAATGAATGATGCAAGGTTAATAATCAATATTGGACGTATATATATATATATATATATATATATATATATATTTATTTATTTATTTATTTATTTATTATCTAGATTTTCAGTTCTGATAATTAATTACTCTGATTATTCGCAATCATAAGTGTTGTTATTATTATAAAAACAATTATCATAGAAAGAAAGAATAATAATTTATATAAGAATTTGTGTAAAGTCAATGGAATAAATACATGCTTTATTTTGATAGGAACGGACTCATATATACAAATATATACTTGTAGGTGATCTCAGGATAAATAATCGACGCTCGTGTTAATTGAATAACTCAGAATTTATTTATGTAGGCGCGAGATAGAACTCTCCGAAGACACGATATTAACTCTACGAAAGCGGGATACCGAATTCTGGAAAACTAGGATTCAGCATGCATGATCCAAGAGGAAGTTTTATGATCGGAAAAATTCTCGAAGGGACGAGTTGCGTAAGGAAAAGCCGTGTGTTTGCCATATGTTAATTGGCGATCTAAAGGATCGATGAAAGGTTGCGTAACATGCAAGTTGTAAATTTTACAGAAGTGAAACCGGATGTCGAATGCATGCATGCAGGGATTAGAATTTATATAATATAATATAATATACGTGAGTAAATATGTACATATGTGTATGTATAACAGAGGCAGAATAGGAGACAATCGTCCCTACATACTCATATGTATTTAATCATTTTAATGAGTTTAATCAGCTTAGTCAATAATTAGAACCAAACGATTAATTAACTTGCTTTAACTCTTGTCTCAAAACTGCTATATGAGTATCAATATTATGAAAAAGTTATAATTTATTTGACGAAGTAAATATTATTTGACGAAATAAATAGCGGCAGAGAGCAATAGATTCCCAATGTTTGTCGTTTTTAAGCACTCGACTCAGTTCGCGCGTTTATGCATACCGCATGCATCGTATGTCATTTTTAGTACATCTGTTTCTGGTAATTTCTTATATCTGTATTCGCCAGACACAGAGACCGTCCGACTTTTTGCGCTGCCTGTGAGCAGGGTTCCACTGTCGTACGCAAGATTTTTTTCCGTTAACGTTATTAGCGCGTTTCAAGTTGGCGAGGTACAATGGCCGAGCGAATACACAGGGTTGGCTTCAACCATTTCAAACTAAATGGCCTAGAGCCATTCGACATCGACTTTTTCAAAAGAGTTTTCAAATTGACTTTTTTCACGCAAAAAATTCTTCTCGGTAAAAGAAGATTTGTTTTGTTCAAATAATCCTATTTTTCATAAAACGTAATTATTAACTATCAAAAAGTTTATATCTATATTTATTTTAATAAATAATTAATTAATAATTAATTTATTCTTTATTTTAATTAATAATTAATTTTTTCTCTCCTTTTTTTATACAATACTGGTAATCTTTGTACTTTTTCGAAGACTCATATCTGCTAGGTAGTTTTGAAACTGGACATAATCTTTCTCACTGCTTATTCTACTGAACGAAATTTGCTCAATGAAAGTATATCTCTATTAAAGTGATACTTATACAACGTGGATGCATGTTGAAATTAGCATAAAGTAAGCGGAATTACACCATTCGCGATCTAAGGGTTTAGACGGCCCTGCGAGCGAGTGTATTCTCGTCGCATGTGTTTCTAACTTTAGAATCCTCGGGGACATCGGACTCGCGCGTGCACAGCCACGTTTGCATACGAATGTGTCGCATACTCGCGATTAACGACGTCGCATACTTGTGTCTCAATCCGCTCGCGAATGAGAAGATTCGTTTACGTCTCAGTACATTCGGGAACGAACTGTCTCCTAAAAGCAAAGCTCTCAAAAGAAGCCTTCAAAGCGAGAGAGTCTGTAGTCGTAGCTTAATAAAATAAGAATATTTCTTTGATACAGATTATATTTTTATTTAACATTTTCGTTGTGATGAAAAACTTAAGTAAC